CTTGCATGAATAACATTGCTGATGAAGGGCTCTATACATATACCGTACGCCGAGTTTTGTCAGTGGCATGTTTTACGGCACGCAAATGCCACCTTGGGCATTTCGTTTGACTCAAGCTCGAACCGGATTAGCTTGAGTCGTGTATCAGCGGTCATAAAGTTGATTGCGATCAAGAAAACTGATTCGGATCGCCCTGATTGCGATTAAAAATGTCTGTGTGCCACTGGTATAAGTGAAATTCTTAGACATTTGCCATCGGTAGCAGTCAACATACCACAAGAGCATGCACTTTCAACTAAGAGACGCAATATGGCTGTTGGTCCGTTCCCAATCTTGGGACATTTTTCTGCGTGACACCAGTATCCAACAGAAAAACTGAAAAAAAATATATATATACACACACACACATGCGCAATTGATAAAGGCCAGACCATCTATACAGCAGACAAAGGCCAGACCAGTATACAGCAGAAAAACTGAAAAAAAAAAAATATATATATATATTTGGTAGCTCGCTGTGGTAGCTCAGTGGTTATAGCATCGAACGCGTTATTCGAAGGTCGTAGGTTCGATTCCTGCACACGGCTGGTTATTTTTTCACCCCCTTTTCTTTCTTCTTATTTAGATTCCATTGGTTCTAATAACATTCCCTGTACATTCCTTGGCATTACTGTCTGTTAGATCTCATTAATATTGTGTCAAAACACGGAAAAACGAGCCCTTAGGTATACACTTCTTTCCCTTATTTATATATATATATATATATATATATATATATATATATATATATATATATATATATATATATATATATATATATATATATATATATATATATAGGTATGAGATATGGCACAACGGGAGCGTTGTCAACAAGGATAAATATATTTATTTCTTAACAGTTTCGGGAGGGGTCCTCCCTTCATCAGGGGATGAGTTATACTGACATGAGCTTCCAAACTTTGTTGCTGCCGCGTCCCTCTCGCCTTGACAAATGTTTGCGAGAGTGAGAGGGAACTAGAAAAAAAAGGGGGGGGAGAAAAAAGACGAAAAAGAAAGAAAAGAAAGAAAGTAAAGAAGAGGAAGAACCACTGTCAACACTGAGAACGAAGCCAACTGTCCGTCTACATCCACATACGGTTCATATCACGTGCTGTTCAGTTCTTGACGTGTGTCGGGCCACCCAAGATTGTCGCCGCGGTGCCGGGAGGGTCCGTGACGGCGTGCATAAAGAAAGGGGTTTCCCCGTAATGGGTCGGTCGGCGGGCGGCGTGCGTAAAGGAACGAATTCCCGTTAATGGGTCGGTCGGCTATTTACCTTTAATCTTCGTCCGTTTCCCTTCAATGGTCATCAAGTGATAGGCGAACGTAAACACTTTGTAAGTGCATGTGGGAAAAAAAAAAAGAAAGGACAGTGTACACGTACGAGTCAGTCAGAAAAAAGCATGGTCTCCAGCTATCAATCTTTGTCATTAATTTTCTCCTGGCTTACTTCTCGGAGGCAGTTGAGTTTTCCGGGGTCCTCGTTAATGCCGGCTACTACTGTACGAAATTTGAAAATAAAATATGCCTCACGCTGTTCGCGCTCGCGTCTGTTTGAGAAACCGGACTGCAAAAGAGTTACGCTGATATTTTCAATACTGTGGTTTGGCAGGCGCAGATGTCTAGATAAAGGTAGCTTCGGCAGTGAAGTGGCCTGGTACCGGTGATTATTGAACCGCAGCCGATATATGTTTGGCCGATATATTCTTGTCCACAGATGTTGCAATGTAGCATGTATATTACGTTACTGGAGTCACAATTAAGGCTTTCAGTTATGCAAAGTTTGAAATCCGAGAAGTTCGCTTTGGATTCAAGTGTTGTGACCATCTGTGGGCATACCTTGCATCGAGCTTTTCCGCAGGGATGACACCCTGATTGAAATTTGGGGGTGTTTGTTTTTGCTCTGACAAGAATGTCCTTCAGATTTTTATCCCGGCGGTACACCACGTGAGGTGGCTTCGCGAAAATAGAAGTTAGTCGTTTGCTTTGCCTGATTATGTTGAAATGTCGGGAAAGTATGTTATTGATTCGTGGCGCTGATGAGGAGTAAGTTAGTACAAGGTTCGTTTGGGAAGTCGTTTTAGATACTCTGTTTGGTCCCTTAATTATATCATTCCTGTTCACGTTGCGAGCAAGTAGTATGGCATCGTCAATAATGTCTTCCGGATAATTTTGTTTCAATAAGGAATGCTTTAGGTGTTCCGCGTGTCTGTCAAATTCCCACATATAGGTGCATATTCTTCGGTACCGGTAGGCCTGAGAATATGGAATACCCGTTTTGCAATGCTTTGGGTGGCTGCTGTTGAAATGTAGGTACATTTGATGGTCTGTAGGCTTTTTGTAAAGGTTTGTTGACAAGCGGTCATTTTCGACCGTGACAGTGACATCCAAAAAGTTAATGCTAGTTTTGGAAATTTTATGCGTGAATTTTATTGACGGGTGGCATTTGTTAAAATCCTCTATGAAGCGGAAAAGACTTCCCTCATCATGGTTCCATATCATAAAAATATTGTATATATATATATATATATATATATATATATATATATATATATATATATATATATATATATATATATATATATATATATATATATTACAGGCACACATGCGTGATTGACAAAGGCCAGACCATCTAATTAACAGCTTGCAAAAAAAAAAAAGAAACTTGAAAAAAAAAAAAGTCACCAGGCACCAAACCAACGACCTCTCATTCCACAGCGCGGGGCGTGAAACCACTCGGCCACAGAGCGTACATTCTCCAGCTTATTAACAACGCACATATACCGTTGGTGGTCCTCAAAGTTTGTTGACGTTAGTGTGTTTCACTAGTGAGATGGTGCGCGGATGCGCTCTAAAGGTCGTTGCCTCTTGCATTGCGAAGTGCACGCTCCTACATAGCGTGAGGTCACTCGTGCACGCATACTTATCCCGTTCTAGATTGGGGCAATTTGTACGTCTTGTGCTCCCATCACAAGTTTGCTTTCAAGGTATCGTAAAGGTTTAAACTGTGCAACGAAGACGGGACAAAGGGAAAGACGCATACATAAGCACAGAACTTCCAACTGGCTTTATTTGCAGAAAGCAGGTTAATTTATAGTTTCTTCAAAGTAACGAGAACAAGGAACGATTGCGATGATACAAGTGAAATCGGCAACAAGGACGCGTGTGCATCACATACAGGGCAGCGCTATCAAGTCACAGTGGTTAAAGAGTGCACAAAGGTCACTTCACTTGCTGTAGCAGCCGCATTAACAGAAGGAGTACGCTGCTCACACACTAAGAACTAACATCTTAACTCGACCAGCAGTCTGTGCTTCTTGAGAAGTAACAATTTTGACAGTTTGCACTCGTTCTGTGTACACTTGTGCATTCATTTCATGCATCTTTCTTTGTATTTTAGCAGTGTGCTTTAAGTGTTGAGCTGCGACACCTATTAGTCCACGTTCACTCGTCCTGTGTATGCTCATTTTGCATGTGCTATCTGCTTGAGGTGCGTGCTGCAAGCTTTGAGCTGCTTCTCATTCTTTCTGTGACTATAATTTATTGCTGTAGTATTGATTCCTTCCCCTCATAGTGAAACAATGCACAATAAACGCTTGTCCACCTGTGTGAAGACACTTTTCACTTTCGTGGTATGCCGATTCCTATGACGGAGGGATCGGCCATATTTTTTGTTTCTTCCTCTGTCAGTATGCGGTTATCGATGCGTGCGGTTTGGCTAGCTTGGTAATATCGTAGGCAGGCAGTCGGCTTTGTCTCTGCTAGTTACATAAACAGTTAAAAACACAAATGTTCAGCCCGAAGTAGCACAGTTGGTGTATAGTTCTAGACATATACGAGCAAGATGTTTGAATTAAATGAATCTGTGCAGTGAAGCAGTCTAAGTGTCTTTAAAATACATTGAAACATAGTGAGCCAACGAAACATTTCAGAATTTTCTGTATGAACCATAAGCTGAAAGTATTGGAGTTTGAATTATGGAGTCTGCTGCATTGCTATTACGCATACATTACCTGTACAGGTGGAAGGGGACGTCGACTCACTGGTGACGCTGACGCCATGCTGTTCCTCGGTGCTGACGGCCAACGGGTCTCCCTGCTCACCCGTGGCGCCGCCCTTGCTGGAGGCACCGGCGCCTCCTTCCACCGAATCGCTCACTCCTGAAGAGCCCCAGCGTCGCAAGGGCTCCTGGACCGAGTTGTTCCTGCGTGGCCGCTCGCCCCAGCGCAGCAGTAGTGGGACCAGCCCCGAGCCTACCACGAAGGGCTTTTTCTCGTCTTTGCTCAAGCTCGGCGGCCGCAAGTCGCCTCGCAGCCCTTCGCCCCACAGCCCGTCACCCGTGCCTACCGCCCCTCGCCTTTCCGTAACTTTGCACGACGACCAGGACGGCGTTCCAGTGGACAGCTTGCCTAACAAGGTGCCCGAGAGCTTGCCTGACAGTAGCATGCCAAATGTGACGAACAAAGTGGCAGAGAAGAAACCTGACAAGCAGCTGGACAGGCAGCCTGACGGCTCGCCCAGCAAGAAGCCAGAGGGCAATTCGAAGAAGCGACAGAGCAGAACCGGCGGAAAGAAGCCAGACGGCGCTCCTGACGAGCCCTGCGCCCGACCGCAGGACTTGGAAATCAACGATCCGTTCGACAGAACTTGCCTCCTGGAGCGAGTGTGCCAGTCGCTGGCGGACATACCAAGTGCCAGCCGTCGGGGCAGCCGTGAGTCTCCGGAGCAGCTTTCGTCGGAGTCGGAGCTCACGCTGGATGCGGTTCTCGTCAAGCAGAGCAGTCAGGATGAGTTCGAGACCCTGCTTGCCCAAGACTCGGTGGAGTCTGAGGAGTTCCTCTCGGTCGCCTCCGCCGTGGCACCACCACCGCCCTCGCGTAGCCCTGTGCCCACCCGACAGCAGCGGCTTGAGGTGGTGACCATCCCGATCGAGCGGCCGCGGAGCACGACGCCCATCAACATCGCGCCGATCGAGGCGTTCCTGCCGGCGGTATCGCCAGAGCCCTGCCCCCCAGACAAGATCCGGTTGTTCCTGCCTGGGGAGCAGTTCACGGGTCGTGGCCCGCGCAGCCCCCGTCGGAGCTCGCTCAAGAGTTGGCTCCACTTTTGTGAGGAAGGTCTGCAGAGCCCACGGAGCCGCAAGCGGTCCGAAGACAGCCAGGCAGCTGGCTGCTGTGACTGCCCCACTCCTGAGGCCGCACACTCGGACTGCACCTGCGACTGCCATCACCACTCTCCCGGGAGCAGCTCTCTGAGCAGCCCCGAGCACGCCTCCTAGAGCACATCCCGCAACCGTGAGTGTTCTTACTCAGCATAGCTAGCGCTGCAGAGTGTAGGACAGAAAGTAATACGATTACGATTGGGGTCAGGGGCGTAGCCAGAAATTTTTTTCGGAGGGTTGATTTCTGGGAGGGCACCCCCTCAAGATGGTCATTTTTTGCTCTGTATGCCACAGTGAAAAAAAATTTCGGAGGAAGGGGAGGGGGCATGACCCAGGTGTGCAACCCCTCTGGCTATGCCCCTGATCAGGGCAGGTACATAGTTGTCATAGGAAGCTCAGCAAGGTAGAGGTAGAATAATCTGGTTGCTGAGCCTGTTGGTGCACCACTTGAAAGTTCAGTGAACACCACCATGAAGGACACATACACAAGAGGAGAAAATTTCACATACGCACTGGGTTAGCACGTACGTTATTGAAATTTTATCCTTTTGTGCATGTGTCTTTCAAGGCTACACTCTAAAAAAAAAATATCGAGTAAAAAAGGTGTCTTTTTGTCCCACAACAATAATCGTCATCAGGCTTGCGTGCGCTTCCTTTCTTGAAAACTCGGCGCTGGCCACTTTCCCATTGAGAATGCAATGTAACCCTGATAATGGGCATGTCGATCGTGACAGGAATGTACCGAGCGCGGGGCGATAGCGCAAGGAATGAACGCAATATAGATGACAATTATTGTTGTGGGACAAAAAGACACTCTTTTTACTCGCTCTTTTTTTAGAGTGTAGTTTCATCGATTGTTCAAAAGTGTAGGAAAGCGTGAGTTAATGAAAGGAACGGCTGCATTTTTGAATGAGGGGAAAATGCTGTAGGCGCGTGTGCTCAGATTTCGGTGCACGTTAAAGAACTCTAGGTGGTCGAAATTTCCGGAGCCCTCGAATATTACGTTTCTCATAATCATATGGTGGTTTTGGGACGTTAAACTCTACATATCAATCGAGGATTGAACCTGGGACCAGCACCTCTTCGTGGTGGTTGCTCTACCAATCAAGCTAGCCACGAAGCTAGCAGTAGGCATTGCGAGGGTGAATTAACAACCTGAAGCACTTCAATACATATTATTTCAAGTCAGTTCTGTGGAATCCCGCAAAGTGGTGGAAACGCTAAAGGATCCCTGACACTGAATTTAGAAACTAGAGTTGCTTGTGTTGTTTGACAGTCCTGCATGCATGGGCACTTCTGACTGATTATGACTGCTAACAAACGTTGCTTTCAAGATATTTTAATCTGTCTTTGAGGTGAGCATTTCTGCTTGTCTCAGTTTTCAGTGCCTCGAGACATCGCCACTAGTTTGACATAGACAGGGGCCCCTTGTGACATTCCACAAGAAAAGCGAGTATTGTCAACGTCGCAGAACACTCACGAGGTGCACACGAAGCCAGGACTGGCACCCGACGAGGGCTATTGTTCCTTACCCCGCTCACTCTGTTGTCAGGCTGCTATCAAGGCAGTTTTAGCTGCTTATGTCTGGAAGGCTTTTCTTTTTCTTGGGGGGGTCACACTCGAAGCACTGACATAGTTTCATTCTTCAACGCATGCGGGCTACCTGATTTGAAAACTGCGGTGTTCGTCATCACTGAAGTTTGAGCGCATGTGGTCTTGGGGGCCTCCTCGTTTTGGGGCGTCACTTTCACATGATTTTAGGCGAGCGTTTTCGAATCACACTGAAATTAGTTAGAATCAGTGACTCTAGTGTTAATTCTACAGCTTCTCAGTATAAAGCTTTCCTTCTCGGAAAACTGTATTGATTTCTCCTTGGCTCCCTGCTACCACTTGGTGGTTATCAATTTCAACACTTTCTATGAAGTCTTTCTTTTTTAATATTTTGCTGTTGTGCTATAAAAGCTCTCTCTAGGACAAGATGTAAAACTGACGACATGTAAAACTGATTGCACGCATCGTGAAAATTCAGTCTTCAAGAAGGCTTAATGCCAAGCACTCATGTTGATGGTCGCGAGAAGTTCTTTTCAGGAGGCTGTTACAGATGCTGGCAAATGCTAAAATAAATGTAGGGCTGATACTGCCCGACAACAATTTTCTAGTGATAACTTTGAAGGTTCACCAATGCAAAAAAAACGATTTTTATTGTAGTGAGTGACAATTTCACAATGCCAAGATCTCTTCTTGCTGCGAGATGCATGGTAGGTAAGACTATGCGCTGAGAGAAAATGCAGGTGGTCGACACCAAAGTTTCTGAAGCCAGTCAAGGGGGCGTCATAAATATTGGCAATGTTCGCCAAGGCCCACATGATTGTTTGACTCTACAAATGACTTACACTTTTTTCTATGTCTAATAAGATGAACATTTCATTGGCAGTTTAGATTTTTGCAGAGTGTACTAGCTGAATCTTAAATGTTCTTGGGTCACTTATTTAGCTTGTCAGAGTCTTATTTCATGATCCAGAACTCCAGAAGTATGACCATGTTTTTAATAGGAAGTCCAGACTGTATACCAAGTGTGCTGAGAGTGGGATTTTGATTTACTGCTCATAATTTTTTTAATTATTTTGTTTTTTCATTGTGTGTTTTCGTGGCTCATGCATTCAATTTTGACCGATTGCAGAATGTCTAGTCGTGGTTTTGTTCAAAAACTGTTTGCAAAGACGCACACATTTCATGCTGCAGCATCTTTCTGATGATATTGTCACGGGGTTGCGGCGAGGACATTGTGTTCTACAGATCCTTTCCAACTGTCTCTGGAAACATAGCCTTGTGTATCTCGTAAACTTGAACTTCAAAAAAAATCTTTCATATTTAAAATATGATTATCAAACTAAACATGTATGTTTAGTTTCATCAGATATGCACATAAAATACAGATAAATATATCCACAAGTCATGACCCCTTGGAAAAGTTTCATTGATCCAATTTGGCCAAAATACACAAAAGAAGTCATAGTTTTGCCAAAAGGATGAAGCAAGGAATGTGATAGCAACATATTTGAATGTTTTATGAAGCGAGGCTAGTGTTTTTGGGAGCAATATTAATTGTAGTAAACATGCACTTGCTAATTAATAAAGTTTCTTGCGACGCGGCTGCAGTAGATGACCACAACTAGGCTCATGCGTAGTGACGGCGTTGATTTATGAAGTGAAGCTGGCAGTTAACTTATTTAGATCCGATCTCACATAACGCTATGAAACGCCGGTTTAAGAGAACAGGTCCGCTTCAGGTACACTTTTGGCACCGTTTTTTGGTGTTGAGAGCTCAGCCCGTACAAGCTCCCGCCTGCTGTGGGGCACGAGGCGCGTACTGATCTTTGCCGCGACAGCATGGCAACCATAAGATTTTCCCCTCCTCGTTCCCTGGCGAGATAAGCGCGTGCCCTGACGAGTCTGGACGGAGGGACGATGGTCGATCTGCAGAAAAAGGAGGTAGTAGACCATATATATGAGATCTAACAGACAATAATGCCAAGGAATGTATAGGGGAAGTTATTAGAACCAATGTGATGTAAATAAGAAAAAAGAAAAGTCGGCGAAAAAATAACTTGCCGTGAGCAGCAATCGAACCTACAACCTTCGAATAACGGGTTCTATGCTCGAATAACGCGTTATTCGAAGGTCGTAGGTTCGATTCTTGCTCACGGCAAGTCATATACATACATATATATATATATATATATATTGTTGGCATTTAGTATACCAATCCTCTTCATCTGTACATTATCATCATTATCATGTATTGCTTATGCATCCTCATCGTTGTCACGTATCATCATCATCTTGGTTCGTGCATCTCCGCTGTCGGCTGCCGGTTCCTCGGGCCTAATAAAGGTCTTCCAAACCAAGACTTCAGACGTGGTGGAGCGTGCTGTTAGATCCCTCGTCATCCTCTCGACCACTCTACCCCCTGGAGCTACGTTCAGGTCGCCGCTTGGGCCAGGTGTCCGGAAATATGTCGCACCAAGAAGAGGTCGGTGCTGCAACCGTTCCCACTCCGCCACCGCGTGCCGCGCCTTTTCACGTTATTAACAGCCCCCAGCGTGAGCCCCATCCCTTCGCCGGTATGCGCGGGGAAGATGTGGAGGAATGGCTGGACGATTTCGAACGTGTCATTCTACCTCACGGGTGTCGCGAAGACGTGGTTCCTCAACCACTACATCGACATCCCCGACTGGTCCGCCTTCAAAGATCAGCTTCGGCATGTCTTTGGCACACCGACTGTTCGTTCGGCTCTCGCAAAAAAAGCTCTCGCGGCTCGGAAACAGCACATCGGCGAGTCGTATACATCCTACATCGAGGATGTCCTTTCACTTTGCCGCCGGGTTGAAACCCCAATGACAGAGTCAGACAAGGTACGCCAGCTTCTTAAGGGGATTGCACCCGTCGCATTCAATGCCCTTGCAATCCAGAATCCAGCTACTGTTGCTGACGTTGCGACAACCTGTCAGCGCCTCGAAGAACTCGAGTCTATGCGCCTACAACCGGACAGTGACGCGGCCCGCATTATGGCAGATCCAAACCTACGAGACACAATAAGGGTGATTATACGCGAAGAATTAGAATCAATGGGATTCGCACTACCTTCAGTGTGTCCGATGCAGTCTTCTTCAACGTCATTGCAGGATGTCATCAGGGAGGAGCTCACGTTCATGACCCACATGGCCCACCTGCAGCCCACTGTCGCTCGTACTCTCCCATCATTCTCGCATGTCGTCGCCGCACCATCAGGCACCGTGAGCTCGACGCCGCCGCCACCAACGTACGCGTCGGTTGCTGCCGCACCTCCCAGAAGCTTTCCCACGAGCTTTCCATCACCACCGCCTGAGCCATCATCTGTCCCTCTCACTGCTCTCTCTCCCGGTGCATCTAACACAAGCTACTACCCTTCTTATCGATCGACTCGCCCTACGTGCTATTATTGTGGCTATCGTGGTCACATTTCACGCTTTTGCCGCAAGCGCCAGCAAGATGAGCGCCGAGGGTACGACATACGCGAACGAGACTATACCGCAGGAGCCTTGTACCAGGGCCGTCGTTATTCGTCACCGCCGCGTCAGTCTCCATCTCCGC